TTTTTAATTTTAAATAATTTAAAAACTACTTTAATTCTTAATTTTACTTTATTTATATTTAAAAATTAAAACAATTAATATATTTTTCCATTTAATTAGTCTCACCTACCATTTAATAAAATTAAATAAAAGTTAATTAATTCTTCTATGGATTAATAAATAATTTTATTAATTGAAAATTGAAGCTGAAGGATGTTTTTGATACTTTCTAGAGTTTAAGAATGAATTGGTTAAAAAATAAAAATTAAGGCATCTTTAAATAAGAAAAAGCGCAAAATTGAAATCCTTATTTGCACCCTTACTTCGTCCGTTCCACTCCCTTTGTTTCATATCCTTTACTTTTTATTCTTTGTTTCTTATATAATATCCCACATTCTTTTCTCTACTGTAATTAATAAGAACCTTAATTAAAAATAGTGTCAAAAAGCATGTTTAAAGATGGTCAAACCTTGAAACTTTTTAATTGAATATATAAAACACTTAGGTATCAAATAATCATATTTCGTTACTATACATTTAGACATAATTTTTACATACATTTTATTTATATAAAATCTTAATAATTTATTTTTGTATCATTATGAATTATTGAAAATTTTCATGGCTTCTTAAATGAAAAAAAAAATTATTTTTAAGAATAAGATAAAAAGTTCATATATCTAAAAAATTATTTTTAAAAATAAGATAAAAAGTTCATATATCTCAACTATTCATTGTAAAGTGATTAATAATTAATATTTTGTGTAAGTGATATATGTAAAAGTAAAGGACATTAATTGATATACTTGATGATTCAACAAATTGTACAACACATTCATTCAAAAATTCTTATATGAAATTTAAGGTAAATAAATTTAAAAATATTAATTATGTATAGAGATGCAAAAATCAACTCCACTTATATGAAGATGTATTTGAAACAGAAACACGGGCAAAGGTGATCGGAAGTGGGGCTTGGTTGGTTTTTTTTGGTATGTCTTGGTCATAAATATTGATATTGGTGCTGGGTCTATTTTGTGATGACTTAGCCTTTTATTTTGTGATGACTTAGCCTTTTATTTTGTAATGGGTTGGAGTACCCCTCTTACTCTTATTAATGAAGTATTTTAATTTGCTGATAAAATAATGGTTAAACTAGATAAATGTCGAAAAGTGTGTTGAGTTGATCGAAGGGGACATTAGTTAGTTTTCTTAAATAAAAATGATCACTCATGTAATGACACTTCATGATTGTAAATTTATAATGCTAGATGATATTGTAACCATATCATTTTGGTTAATTTAATTTTCTTAATCATCCAACTATATATATATAGAAAAATGATTTGTGCACCCTCCAAACCGCCATACCTCACCACACACCTTCAGTTCACCTAATAAAATACAGTGGAATGTTGGGATACTCTTATCCTTGATTTTTTTGACGAAGCATGCTGGCACCTTATTTCTTTTAGGGGAGTTTATTTTCTTTTTCGTTTTTGCCATTGCACTTTCTCATCTACTAGAGTCTCTTTACTTCACTTTGACCAAATATTATTGTTGGATTTTTAGGTTATTAAAAAAGGAAGAAGAAGAAAAAAGTATTAAAGTAAATGTGCTCGCTGTCATCTCCTCTGGTATTTGTGTTCCTTCAATTTCCTTCTCCAGTGTTTTGAGCCTCCACAAGCTGTCATCTCCTCTGGTATTTCTGTTCCTTCTTCAACTTCCTTCTCCAGTGTTTTAAGCCTCCACAAGATCAACCCAAGATGATGATGATGCAAAATCCAAGGCACTAATTAAGGATTTCACTACTGTAGGAAGGGTGGTTAAAAGGTGCAGTTGATATTTTGCATTGTGGGATTGGAAGGGTGCCTTTTATCTACCTTGGTTTGCCGGTTGGAGGGAATCCAAGGAGGAAACAATTTTGGAATTCTGTGCTGGATCGTTTTCGTCATAAGCTTGCCACTTGGAAAAGCCCACTACTGTCCTTTGGAGGCCGGATTACCTTAATTAACTCGGTATTGTCTGCTCTTCCTATTTTTTATTTATCGTTATTTAAAATTCCTAAATGTGTGCTAGTTGAATTGATTAAGATTCAAAGGAATTTTTTTTGGGGTGGGGTGAAGTTAGAAAGGAAGATTTCTTGGGTTAGTTGGGATTGTATGTGTGTGGAGAAAGGAAGAGGGGGCTTAGGAATAGCTGATTTAGAGAGGATAAATTTTGCTTTGCTTGGTAAATGGTGGTTTAGACTAGGTGATGGAGTGGATGGTTTATGGAAGAGAGTGATTTGGGAGAAATATTATGGGGGGAGGAATGAGGCGGATATAACTTCTTTTGAATCTTTGACGATGTCTCGTGTATGGAAGGATATTGTGAGTGTGGGTAGGGGGTCTGAAAGGTTAGTGGAGATGTTAGTAAAGGGTTTTAAATGGAAGGTTGGTGAGGGAAGATGTGTAGAGTTTTGGAGGGATAAATGGGTGGGAGACAAGTCCTTAAAAGATTTATTTCCGAGGCTGTTTGCGTTATCTACTATTAGGGAGGGACGGTTGAAGGATATGGGCTTTTGGAGGGGTGAGAATTGGGTATGGGATTGTAGATGGCGACGTGGATGTGTAGGGAGGGCTGTTGGTGAGGAGGGACAGTTTAGGGAAATGATTAATGGGGTAAGGTTGAGGATGGAGGAAGCAGATTCTTGGCATTGGATTCATAGTAGTGATGGTACCTATTCTGCAAAGGCAGCATATGATTTTCTATCACCGAAAGTTTGTGTTCTGGATCAGGAATGGTCTCGGATTATTTGGAGTAAATATGTTCCTTCGAAGTTGAGTGTTTTTGGGTGGAGATTATTTTTGGATAGGTTGGCCACTAAAGAGAATTTGGGTAAGAGAGGGATTGTGTTGACAGGTGGGGATGTTAGTTGTGGGTTTTGTAATGAGGGGGTGGAGAGGTTACATCATAATTTTTGTGAGTGTGAAGGGGTGTGGTTGGTATGGACGAAGGTTTTGGGATGGTGGGGTTTACAAAGTGTTTTGCCAAATGATATATTTGGGTTGGCGGAGTCGGTGGTGTATGGAATAGGTGGGGGTTGCTTGAAGGAGCTGGGAGGCCTTATTTTTTTGGTAACTGCTTGGTTAGTGTGGGACTGGAGGAATATGAAATTGTTTGGACCAGTTTTGCAGTCTGAAGTGAGGTTATTGGAATCTATTCAAGCAAAATCTTTTCTATGGATTAAAAATAAAGAGCCAAGATGTGTGTTTTCTTACACAGATTGGATTTCAAGGCCTATGAATTGTAAAGAAGCAATAGTTCAACATCGTCAAAATTTGAAGAAATACAAGAAGATGCACAGTTCCTAAATGTATTTAGCTATTGGACAACTGCTTCTTTTGCAATTTTGATTTTTTTTTCTCTTCCGTTGAGTAGTGGTTTAATTGTTTGTATTTTGGGGTGGAGTATTCCTTATACTCCGAGAGTAATATAAAGTCTATTTGATTTTGCTGATAAAAAAAAAAAA